AGCAGAGTTGCCCGCCACCGACGCCACACACACACACACACACACACATATGAACATGAATGATTTATGAAATAAAATCTATCATGCATGTTTATCGTGATTTAGTTAGATTTGTGTATTACCCATTGTATTCTGATTTTACAAGTTATGACTAGTGTTGGTGAGAAATTAGTCTGACTAGATTCGACACCTCTGTTGCTCCGTAGTTGATCCTTAGGGAGGGGAGGGGTAGTTGAGGTGTGACAAAATTGCATCTGACGCCATCTGTGCCTTTGTCTATTTCAGTTTGCTTATGTCGATTTCCTCAGTTGTTGCATTTGGTTGCTTTGTTTAACTTCTTTGGCTTCGATTAATTATTTTCTTTATTCGACGATAGTTGAATTGTTGGTTGTCATGTTATTTTTCTCTTAGTGCTTTGGTCACTCCTTCGACTCATCCTTCAGTACTAAATATCATTGATCATGGTTGGTGAACAGAAACATCTTGTGATGGATTTAGTTTCATTTGTGGCTAAAATTATCGTTGAAAAGTTAAATGCCATCAATTTTATTGGAATAAGATTGTAAGACTCTATTTAAGAAATATTTCTCAAGAGAGTTACATCATTGATAATCCCCCAGCTTAGATTGAGTTCAATTATTTTGAGTGAATGAGAGTAGATGCCCAGCTTTTGATACAAATCTGGAACTCTATTGAACCTGATCAATATGTTTATATTACTTATTGTGATTGTGTTAAAAATGTGATGGAGGAATTGATGTTTGTGTTTTCTGGGAGAAAAAAATATTTCTCAAATCTTTGATGTACGCAAGGCGTTCTATCGAGTTAAACAACATAATCAGTCACTTTAACATGTATCACATGAACTTTAAACGTGTGTATGAAGACTTGAATGCACTAATTCCCTTTAGTACCGATGTCCAGTTCCAGTAGACTCAATGAGAACAAATGACTATTACGAGTTTGTTAGCTGGCCTCAACTCCTAGTATGAAGGTGTCAGTTCACAGATCTTATTTGGCCATGAAATTACTACTTAAGGGAAGCCTATGCTCGAGTGTTGCGTATTATTCTGATTTCTCAAGCCACGTCCATGTAACAATCTAGTGCTCTTGCTAGTCATAGGCATTAGTAAAACTCAGTCTCAGGATAATTACAAGTGAAATTCTAAATTTTAGAAATCAAGTGTCAAGATAGTTTTCTAATATAGTCATGAATTTGATCATACGAAAGAGAACCGTCAAAAATTACTCAAAAGAAACAAAAGGTTTCTAAATCACAGTCTGCTCATACGATCACTACTATTGAGGCCTCTCAAAACCAGGCTATCTTAATCTCTGCATATGAATATGCTAAGCTCTTCCAATTTCAGTAAGCATTGAATAAATCCCCTTCTATTACTGCCCTTGTTGAGTTAGTTAACAATGATACTAGTCTTATTTCCTCTTCCACACAATGGGTCATTAATTATGGTACCACAAATCACATGATGGATAATCCAAAATTCTTTTTCCATCTTTCATAAACAACTTTCTTTTGCCTCCTTAGCAGATGGATCTACATCTAATATTATTGGTTATGAGACCATTAATGTTACATCTACACTACCATTAACATCTATCCTGAGTTCACTTCAATTTTTTTAAATTGTCTTTGTTACCAAGATTACATTTGCTCTTAAATGTTGTATTTTATTCTTCTTTGACTATTGTAGTTGGTTCATTCTGATGTATGGGGCCCTTATCCTATTTTATTTATTAGATTTCAATATTTTGTCACTTATGTGGATGATTTTTCTCATATTACTTGGTTTTGCTTTATGTAATCTCATTCTGAGTTACTGTCACATTTTCAATTTTCAATTCTTTTGTGCGAAATTAAAACTCAATTCAATATTTCTGTTAAGATTTTAAGAAGTGGCAATGTCAAAGAATATTTCTATGCACCTTTTCAAACCTGCATGACACAAAATTGGATGATTTACCAGTCATCCTTTAACGATACATGATTATAAAATAAAGTAGTTGAAAAGAAAAATAGACATCTTCTTGAGACAGCTATAGCTCTTTTGTTTCAAACAAATGTACACAAATAGTTATGGGTGATGTAATTTTTATTGCATATTTTTTTAATCAATAGAATGCATTCTACTGTTGTACAGATCTAAACACCCTCCCAAATATTATTTCCTACGAACTCTCTTTTTCCTATTGAAACACTAATATTTGAGTATACTTGTTTTGTTCATGATATTCGTCTGTAGATCTCTAAACTAGACCCTAATTCATTAATGTTGTGTCATTCTAGGATACTCTCATTACTAAAAAGCGTATCAATATTTTTTCTCTCTTAAATATGTACATGATTTCTGCTGATATCACCTTTCATGAACAAACCACATTCTTTGGTAACTCAGTGTTACCAAAATTTTTGTAATATTTTGATGATTTTTTAATGTATCACATCATTAGTTTAAATCTTGCTCCGGGTCTACTTCCACCACCAGTGCCTCAGCCCAGATCACAGATCACTAATGTTTACTCTAGAAGACCTCTCTCTCATAACTAATTCGTCAGTAGATCCTCCTCCCTGTGAACTTGATTCACTCATTTCTCTTCGAAGAGGATAACGTCAATGCGCTTATCCCATTTTTTGTTGTTAACTGTAACAAGTTATCTTCTACTTCTTGCATGTTTATTGCTTCACTTGACTCTATTGAGGTTTCAAGATATGTTCAACAAACTCTATCCCATTCTGGGTGATAGGTAATGATGTTTGAAGAATGAATGCTTTAACTGAAAATGAAACATAGAAACTAGATGAATTATCTTCTGGCAAGAATGCTATTGGTTGTAAATGAGCCTTTGCAGTTAAGTTTCATTCTGATGGATATATAGCTCGTCTTAAAGCTCAGTTGGCAGCTAAGGGCTATGCTCAAACTTATTAGATCGACTACTTGGACACATTCTCTCCAATAGCTAAGTTAACTTCAGTTCACCTATTTTTGACGTTGGTTGAAATGAGTAATTGGCCCCTACACCAGCTTGATGTGAAGAATGCATTTCTTTTTGGTGATCTTTTAGAGGAGATATACATAGAGAAACCTCCTTTGTTTGTTGCTTAGAGGGAGTTTGGGACTGTATGCCGTCTTGGGAAGTCATTATATGGATTGAACCAAAGCCCTTAGGTATGGTGTGGAAAATTCAACCAAATAGTAGAAGAGTTTAGGATGCAAAAAAGTAAAAGTGATCACACTATATTGTACAAACAATCGGCTTCGGGAATCATTCTATGTGTGGTCTATGTTGATTACATTATTATTACTGGAAGTGATGTATATGAAATCCTATCATTGGCATCATTTCTTCAAAATTAGTTCAACACTAAAGATATGCTCTTTGAAGTACTTCTTGGGGATTGATGTATCAAGGAGCAAGAAGGGCATTTGTTTATCTCAACAGAAGTATGCTTTGAATTTGTTAACATAAATTGAAAAGTTAGTGGTCAAACTATGTAGTACTTCGATGCTTCCTAATCAACAACTTGTTAAAGATAAATAGCCTTTTAATTATCCTGAACGATATTGTAAGCTAGTGGAAAAATAAAACTTCCTTACAATGACTCGTCTTGACATTGCTTATTTAGCAACACTGCGAGTCAATTTATGTTTTCCCCTATAGTTCATCATTGGTCGGTTTTGGAACAAATACATGTACCTTAAAGGGGCTCGTGGATGATGTTTTTCTCTGATATAGAGTGGGCAAGTTCCAAGATTGATCGAAAATCCATTACTGGATATTGTGTCTTTGTTGGTGGTAATTTGGTCTCTTGGAAGGGTAAGAAACAGAATGTAGCGCTATGATTCAGTGCAGAATCTGAGTATTGAGCGATGACACAAGCTTCAAGTGAATTGATGTGGGTCTCCCATCTCTTGACCGTAATTGCATTTAAGATAATTGTTCCAACAAAGTTGTGGTGTTTACTAGGCCGCAATTAATATTTCTTCAAACCTTATCTTCCATGAGCGAACTAAGCACATTGAAACAAATTGTCATTTTGTTTGGGAAATGTTTCAACAAAATTTGATTCTACTGTTCATGTAAAGATTGGGGAGCAACTAGGGGGTATCTTCACGAATACCCTTAATGGAGCTTGGGTTGCTTATATTTGTAACAAGCTGGACATGATAAATATCTATGCTCTAGCTTGACTTGAGTGTTATGGAAAGAAATAAATCCAAACTTTATATGTTAGGAAGTGTATATATTAGGGAGCTTGATATTAGACAACAAATTTAGAGGAGATCTAATTGCATAATCTTTTCTATTTTAGGGATATTTTATAAACATGGGAGTGTATATAAATGTGTAACGTGTGTTTTTTTATTCAAGCAATAAGAGAAGGAGCACTATTTTCCTTCACAGTTTTTATACTTTTATTGAAGATAAAGAAAACTGTATTGATTAAAAAAAAAAAAAAACTGTATTCGGAAAATATAATTCCATTAATAGAAGATCTGTATTCTGAAAACATAATCTCCATGACTAAAAAAAGAAATTTAAAATAAAGCGTTTCATCTTCATCATTATTTTCTTACCAACTATATGAGGTTGGTTTGATTGTCGACCAAATTTGTTGGGTACTTTATTTGGTGTACTTTTGGTTCATGCAAGCTTTTCATTATATCTGCAAACAGATATTTTACTAAATGGTGAATCAGTTTGAGAAATGCAAATGATTTAGTTTATCATCATATATATGCATTGATTGAAATGCAATGATATCATATTAAGGAAAGTTGGTGTAACAGGTTGAATGGTTATGATGTAATTCTAGGTAAGCATTGAATAACATGGTAAAGTAAAAAAAAAAATCATGATGATCTTGGAGTCTAGAGTTCACTGCAAACGTGAAACTCCTTTTTTTCCTCTAATGACAATTTTGTATATATGATGATTATTATTTATTTGTTTTTATTTTTTTTGTTTTTTTTAATCTGCAGGTGATATCATATATTCGAGGGCCACTTCTCTTTATATTTAATTTTCATTCCGAAATGTCTTATGAGCTTTATAATATTGGGGTTGAGGAGGCTGGAGAGTACCAAGTAAGAAACAAAGCATTTTTTGGGAACTTTGCTCTCTCCTGTTTTGAATAAGTTTGTTCGCTGTTACAACTTTTCATTCCATCAATTCTTTTAAGCATGTCTTTTCTTCTTTGAAGTTTCAAATGAAGACCTGGATGCGCTAAGCTGTTTAATTTTTCTTTGTTTAATAGTTCCACAGAATATTATTAACTAGTTGTCTACACTGTTTGTACTTCAAAATTTTGCAGCAATTAATTAGTTCTAAAGGGGTTTTCGATGAAACCTTAAAAGAGAGTGCACTGAGTCTCTCGCAAGGTTTAATGCTTTTCAAAGAGATTTTTTAGAGATGGAATCCTTATCCATGCAAATGAGTCTGCCCATTTTGGATATGAGCTCAAAAGAAGACCAATTCTATAAACAAGATGGTGAACCAGGAAAAGAAAATAGGCGGTTACAACCAAACACGCTTGAAAAGGGAAATTACAACAAACATGACACAACTCCTTTGAAGGCTGATCCCGGGTGGTGGTTTTGACTGTTAGGGGGTTTGGATAGGTGGCAGCAAGGCAGGGAAGGGGTTTTTGGGCTGTGAATGAGGCAAGGGAAGGCGGCAGTTTGTCGTTTGGGGGCGTAAACAGCGAGGGAGAAGAGGTATAGGGAGGCGGCAGCAATGTGGAAGAGCTGTAAGGCTGGCGGCTGTAAGCTAGAAGGGCTAGAGGGCTGGGTAGGCGGCTGGGAAAGGCGGCATGGAGGCATGGGGGCTGCAGAAGACAACAAGGAGGTGCAGAGGGAGGACTAGATGGGAGGCGGCTGAGATGAGGTGGATTTTCAACGGTGGCAGCGGAGCCAAACTGTAGAAAACAGTCTAGATGGGCTGTGCGGCTGCTGCAGCAGGAAGGACGGTGGTAGCGGAGAGAAAGTTGTGGGGGAGGGAAAAGTTGAGAATAAATACCACCTAGGTAGCAAGATACAAGCAGGAGCACAACTCGGCCCTTCAAGAAGAATCACCACCTTGGAACGAGATACAGCTGGAGGACTACCCTCCCAGGAAAAACGGGGACCTAGATGGCTGTTCTGACATAACCATAAGCAAAACTAACCCTAAAACATTCAAAAAAATAAATATATAGTAATATGATAGGAGTAGCAAGATACAAGCCGGAGCACAACTCGGCCCTTCAAGAAGAATCACCACCTTGGAACGAGATACAGCTGGAGGACTACCCTCCCAGGAAAAACGGGGACCTAGATGGCTGTTCTGACATAACCATAAGCAAAACTAACCCTAAAACATTCAAAAAAATAAATATATAGTAATATGATAGGAGTGGTCCGAGTGGACCGGCCAACTCAACAGACACGAGAATACCTAAATCGGTTCGGTCCAGGCTTGAGCTGGCTCACACTTCTACTGCAAAAATATCCACATGGGAAGCATCATCCCTCGTCAATATATAGATATATTTGTTTTATGAAAGTGGGAAGTATTCTAATGACATTGAAGAGCTTCAGAATGGTTGCATTTTTTTATTTTGTTGTTGTGGATAAAGAAATTTATATTCCTTGATAACTTAAAGAAATGGCATATGATTGAGACATCATCATTATTAAGAGCAAAAGAACAGGATTTTGAAATGTAACACAACTTATTATCTCTATGGCAAATGATGCTATTTCTACATACTCTTGCGAGGTTAAATTTTCCTAAATGTTTAAATTAAAAGAGGGTAAAAATACTTACCTAATGATTTGTTGGAGGATAGTGAGGTACTTGTAAAGGATCTATCCCCCTTTCAACGAAACGATAATGTAGAAATGCCATCTTTGCACAACGCTTGTACAGCTGGTTAAAGCCATTTGCTTTTTGCTTAGTGATCTTGTACGATCTTGTACGTTTTTTTTTTTTTTGTAATTCATTTGATATGTTATATTTAAGTGAATTAAAATTCTACTTCATGTATGAAGTACTGCGCCTTACCTTCTTCTACTCATGATCTCTTTTTTATTTCTTATTTCCATCTCATAAATTTTCTTTTCACTTTTGTCTTATTTATCAGCTGTGATTGTGAGGTTGGATTTATCGCTATGCATGAATTCTCTTATGTCTGTTATCCCATCATGATATCATCTCCTTTAGTGGATCTTCTTTGAATTAATTACCTATTTCATTTGGTCATGTTACTGAGATGCTCTTTTTTTCATCAATAAAGTTAATATAATGATTACAAAAGAGTTTTGCACTAGCTAATCATTTCATGCCACTTTAACTATGCTAGAGAAGGTGCGTTCACTTTTTAAAAGTTAAAACAGTGATATTTTTGACGTGATATGAAAGGCTTGAGTGGTATAAATATAAAAAAAATTACATTTTTTTTTTGTTAGATATGTAAATGCATAGGAATTGGGCGGTATGTATGCAAATACTCCATTTTATTTAATAATATTTTACCATTTCTTGGTGTTCCACCCTTTTCATTGAATGATAATAAGCCTTGTTTTGTTTTAAAAATTTTTCCATAAATTTTTTTTTTTAGGTAAGTGCCCTTTCCCTGCTCTTCATAAGAACAGATTGTGTCATTTGCATGGCCTGTGATTTTTTTTCGGTCTTAATGAAGCATTTTGTTGCAGATAATATTGAACACAGATGAAACTATATACGGTGGTCTGGGAGTGCTGAGGAGGGATCAGTATCTGCTAAGGACCATTAGCAAAAGGTGTCGCATGAATTGTCATTTTTCCCCCTTCTAATTTTATCTTCTTTCTCTGTAAATTAAACCAATGAAGAAATTTTATGTCCGAATATGCAGACTCCTAACATTGATTAGCATAGATTTAGAATTATTGGACTTGCTTTAAGATTATGTGTAATACAACTTATGATTGGGGCATCCATATACCTAACACACACATCTTATGTATTTACATATCTGACACCTAAACTTTCATATTTACATACATAACACTCAATTCTTTGATATCACATCAAAAACACACTATTACTGAAATACAACTGAGTGTTATAAATGTAAATATGAAAGTTTTGGTGTTTGATATGTAAATATATAAGAATTGTGTGGCATGTATATAAATTTCTCTAAATTTAATAATTCTAAAATCATACAGATCAAATTTGATTACAATATCTGACTTTTTTTACCTTGATAAAGTCTGATTGTAGTTCTTGTTTTTTTTCTTTTCAGGAATGATGGTTATCGAAATAGCTTAGAGGTGACGTTGCCCAGCAGTAGTGCTCAGGTGTCGTGTCATCATGTCCAGCATTTGAGAAATTATTTCATACGGACACCGCATACATCTCTGCATGCGGTGTCCGATCCTGACCGTAGATCACGGTGATCTATGATTATTTCAGTTTTTTTAAAAAAAAATTTAGGTGGGGCCCACCGAAATACATATTGACCGTAAATCACCTGATTTACGGTTAGGATCGGAGACCGCAAGATGCGTGCGGTGCCCGATCCGTATAGAATAATTTTTCCCAGCATTTACCCTCTAGAAGAACTTGTATTATCCGAAATTTTTTGCCGGTTTCCTAATCTCCCAATTTATTGTATACTTGCAGGTCTACAAATTGACTCGCATTGCGAGAGTTTAAGGCTATTTATGGATTCAAGGAAGACTTTTGATTTGCATCCATGGCATTTCCTCTTTTTTTTCTCTAGTGTAAAAGAATGCTTGTTAGCTCAGTTTATTGTTTGGATGAAAATGGGTGAATTTTTAATTCATTTTTTAGGAGGATTTACATACATACCACTCAATTCTTATGTGTTTACATATCTAACACCTATCCTTCAAGTTTCACAATGCCACCTTATCATTGCTTGAAAAGGTTGTATTTTACTTTTGAAAGGTTAAAATTGTGGGTATTTTTGATGTGATATGAAAGATATGAGTGGCATAAATGTAAAAAGTGAAGTTTAGGTTTTAGACCTATAAGCACATGAGAATTGGGTGGTATGTATGTAAATACCCTTTTTTGTTATTTGTCAACAATTTTAATTGGAGTGTGTGAAACTAATTTGATAAATAAAAGAATATTGGGGATAGGCCATACATAAAATCTAAGTGCTATTAGGTGTTGGGTCTATTTATGTTTGGGCGAACATGCGCACCGGCATAAACATACATAAATGCAAACATATGAATCATGAAAGAATATTTACATATGTAGCATCGGATTGATTAGCTCTAGCCCACCATTGATTTTGTAATGGAAGGTCATATTACACTCGAGTTGGTCTTTTATTCGCGGGATTTGACTTAGTTGAAATAAATTATATATTCAAAAAATTGAAGAAGTGAGATTATAAATTTGAAAGCAATCGTTTGGTCTCTTATGATCGTGATTGAGGTTGTGGAAGGGGTAAGGTGGGCAATGGTGGTGATCAGGTGAAGTTGTATTGGTGATAATTTTTCGAGAGAGCGAGTCGTCGAATGATGATAGTCAGATGATTGTGTTTGAGCAATAATGGTCGAACAATGTCAATCAGACAATGATAGTTAGATGATGGCAAACGGGTGATGATAGTTGTTGGTAATGATTGTTAATATTAGACATTAAGCATAGTTTTAAAAAATCTTCAAATCTCAATTTCAAGTATAAATCATACTCAGCGCGAAATCCTATCTATAATATTGAAAAAAAAAATATTTTAATTATTTTGGCTAATTTTTCCAAAATATTTTGAGTTATTATTTAGATCGTTAATTTTAAAATTGGAAAATATTGAACCCGTTGTATTTTTTCTTGTTGAGATGCTCGATCTTTTATACTAGGGAATAATAATGCAACATTGACTTGTTGATTGCTTAACAACAAAATTGTATATTTACACCGCCCAAATAATTCATCACACAAAAATTATCACAAATTTGGCTTTTAAAAAAAGTCAAAAATATCTTTTTCATGCATAACCAAAATATTATATACATAAAAATTGAAGATTATGT